GTCCTGTAAGATGCTGCCTGGGAAAAGACACAAACAAGCAAACAAGCCCAGCACCAAGAGCTCTTGTTGTGTGAACGAGCCATCAAGGACCAGCGGTGCCCACCAGGAGAAACCACCAGAGGCAGGAAGAAGGAGAGCAGGCTACTGCTCTGCTGAGAAAAAACCACTCTGCCAACACAAAAATGACCCCACCACCAGCCCCTCCTGCCCAACAGTGGATCTAACCAACCTTCCCCACCCAGGACAAACCCTGTCCTGTGCTCAGGCTACCTGGACCCAGCCCAGAGGAACACGCAGATCCTCACAGTCCTTATGGTCTCTTAGGAAATGGTTCAAACTCTCTTGGTGCTCGAAGGGCTGTCCTGGCAGCAACCCCTGAGCCACTCCACCAGTATCAACATGCTTTTGTAGCCAAAAGTTTTACAAAACTGAGCCCTGGGAGGGAGCAGATGGAACCTGACACCGAGGAACCTGCCAGCCAAAAGCTGCGAGGAGGAGAGAAGCTAAAGGCGAAGCTGGTAAATTAATTGAGTTCTTTCATGCAAAGTGCAAGAGATAATTTTCATTGCTTTTCTCTCAACTTCATTAAAAATAACAACAGCCCATGGGCTTTCTGTTGTGTTTTTTTTCAGGTGCTGCTGAACATTTCCGAGGGAAGGTTTTAAATGCAGACTAATATATTACCGTTCAGGCACTTAACAATGGAAGGACACACGATCCCCAGGCAAGCATTAATCTGGGCACCAAGAGGAAAGAAAAAACTGTAGCGAGCAACTTGTCCTGACAACAAGCAATTTAGATGTACACAACCCAGGGGCCAAGTGGGAACCAGTACAAGGAAACTAAACTGCTAGAGAAGCTCCCGTCACATCCACCACCAGGCCCTGAGAAGAACTGAAACAAGACAGTTCAATTAATCATCCTAAATGCTGAGCACCTCAGGTGGGGGAACCTCATTTTAAACACTGAAATGAAGCTCAGAGGCTACTAAACACCTCTGTCTATCACCATGAAATTACTCCAGCCTGTGCCCAGCTCCTGAACATCAGCTCTGAGACCACGGTGTGATTTGCAAGCTATAAAGCCACCCAAAGCAGGAACTTCTAGTAAAAACAGACACTGAGGGAACTCAGATTATTTCAGCAAGAAGAGATGCAAAAGTTTTATTGGATTTGGCTGTTGAGGGTTTTATTTCATTAGAACACAGACAAGCTTTTACAAATTGCTTCTCTTGCCCCGATTTCGGGCTGTTTTTCAGCCTGGCTGCTGCAGCACTTCCACATTTTCCATGGACCTCCCTGGGGCTGGAAGTGTGGCAGGGGGGCATGAAAAGCCAAGCAGGAGTGGTACCTGCAGCTTTTAAGTTGCCACTGTAAAACAACAGAATCCCACCACTCCTTGGGAAATGACACATCCCTTTCCTATGGCAGCTGTGACAGCCTGAGAAGCCAATGCCAAAAGCCTGGATAGCAAGGAAACACCTGGGATTTTTCTGCATGACCAGATGGGTGATGTTCCCAACCTCACCAGCAACACTCTTAAGCACAGCTCGCAAAAGAGCAGACAGAAAGCATGTGTTTCATGGATCAACAGGAGACCAAAGTGACCCAGGCTGTCCTCTGAGAACAAGGGGAGCACCGAGGTAGGTCTGGGAGAATGAAGGATCACAAGGAAGAAAGGAAGAACAAGGTTAAGGACAAGTCTGAAAGCAAGGAAGAAATCAAAAGCCCACGTGTCAGCCAGCAGGAGAAGACCTTCCATGCTGGAAGCACGTGCTCCTGTCCTGGGTCCCAGGGAGGTGACCACCCCTACCCCAGGCAGGAGGCCAGCAATGCCTGCTCCTGCCTCAGCAGTGGCTTGCAGGAATCTGAAAAAGCAGACTGGTATTTTGTGCCTCTGGGCTGACACCAGAGTCTCCACCCCTTCGTCTGGAAGAACACTTCCAATTAACTGGAACTTAGGACCAGAGAAGCCAACGGCCCAACTGGGTGGAGCCACAGCCTTCAGCAAAGCTTCTGCTGGGCAGGGGGCTCAGCCACAGGGCTGCTCTGAGACCTCACCCAGCCAGGGCAAGGACAGCACAGAGAAGAAACATGAACCACAGCACTCGGCAGACAACTTGGCAATCCCAAACTCAATAAATCTTCCCTAGATAAGGATCTGTGGCCATGTTAAATCACTCCCCCAGCATAACTCCCAGCCCTGCTTTGGTTGAGCTCCCAAGCCAGGCAAGATGACCCAGGCAGGGCCACAAGTGGCATCTCCTTCCAACTGGTTCAAGTCACTTCACGAGGCCACGTCACCTCAGTTAATCACGGGCCCCTGTTAAATCACAGGCCCCTGTGGCTTCTGACAAGAATTTAAAGATATAATGAGCAAATATAGGCAAGCATCACATTTCCTTGTTTGCTAAGGAAGCAAGTGTCATCCCTGTGGGAAGGTTTCATCTGGAATCGCTCTGATAAGGATGCAAAGCCACTACCTGCTACAGACCCACTGCCCTGACCCACTTCTTGCGGGGACACGCGTGGGGCATCAGAGTCTCCACCCCTTCGTCTGGAAGAACACTTCCAATTAACTGGAACTTAGGACCAGAGAAGCCAACGGCCCAACTGGGTGGAGCCACAGCCTTCAGCAAAGCTTCTGCTGGGCAGGGGGCTCAGCCACAGGGCTGCTCTGAGACCTCACCCAGCCAGGGCAAGGACAGCACAGAGAAGAAACATGAACCACAGCACTCGGCAGACAACTTGGCAATCCCAAACTCAATAAATCTTCCCTAGATAAGGATCTGTGGCCATGTTAAATCACTCCCCCAGCATAACTCCCAGCCCTGCTTTGGTTGAGCTCCCAAGCCAGGCAAGATGACCCAGGCAGGGCCACAAGTGGCATCTCCTTCCAACTGGTTCAAGTCACTTCACGAGGCCACGTCACCTCAGTTAATCACGGGCCCCTGTTAAATCACAGGCCCCTGTGGCTTCTGACAAGAATTTAAAGATATAATGAGCAAATATAGGCAAGCATCACATTTCCTTGTTTGCTAAGGAAGCAAGTGTCATCCCTGTGGGAAGGTTTCATCTGGAATCGCTCTGATAAGGATGCAAAGCCACTACCTGCTACAGACCCACTGCCCTGACCCGCTTCTTGCGGGGACACGCGTGGGGCATCTCAGGAGCCCAGCAGGGGCTGTGCCAGCTCCCCAGGCAGCCCGGGGAGCCCGGGCAGGGCCGGGGCTGGGAGCAGCGACCCGGACGGCCCTGCCCAGAGACCCCCTGGAGAAGGAGGAGGAAACGCAACCTCAGGCCCCAGCGCGGGACACGGTTCCTGAGGAGCCCCTGGCTGCTGTGGAGTCACGGCTCTGAGGCCCGTGCTGACCCTGAGCCCACCCGGGACGGGATGGGGAGGGTCGGAACCCGCCCGGGGGGGCTGCGCTGGGCCCAGCGCGGGGGTCGGTGCCGGTTGGGATGGGGGTCCCGGTACCCGGGGCCGGGCGGGGCCTCCCCGCGGAGCGAAGGGGCCTTTTCCCCCCTCACCGTAAATCATGGCCAGGCCGGTCTCGTGGAGGAAGCGGGCGCGGCGG